TTCGGCGGGGCTCCCTATGGGGCCACGAAGCGTTGTACTGGGTGTGCGGGAAGCATTCGGGCGGTCCCACTGGGGGTGGTGCGCGGCGCATTTGGGGGGTCCCATTGGGGCCGTCGGCGGGTTTCCCTATGGGGCCACGAACGATGTGATAGGTGGTGCGTGACGCACGCGGGCGGTGCCACTGGGGCCGTCTTATTCCCTATGGGCCACGAGTCGCTGTACTGGGTGGTGCGTGACGCATGCGGGCGGTGGCACTGGGACCTTCGGCGGAGCTCCTGATAGGGCCACGAAACGCTGTACTGGGTGGTGCGTGACGCATGCGGGCAGTGGCCTTCAGTGGAGTTTCCTATGGGGCCACGAAGCGCTGTATTGGGTGGTGCGTGACGCATGCGGGCGGTCCCACTGGGGCCATCGGTGGAGTTCCTCATGGGGCCACGCAGCGCTGTACTGGGTGGTGATTGACGCATGCGGGCGGTCGCACCTTCGGTGGGGCTCCCTGTGGGGCCACGAAGCGCTGCACTGGGTGGTGCGTGAAGCATGCGGGCGGTGGCACTGGGACCTTCGGTGGAGCTCCCTGGGGCCACGAAGCGTTGTACTGGGTGGTGCGTGACGCATGCGAACTGCGCCATTGGGAACGTCGGTGGAGCTCCCCATAGGGCCACGAAGCGCTGTACTGGGTGGTGCGTGACGCATGCGGGCGGTGGCACTGGGACCTTCGGCGGAGCTCCTGATAGGGCCACGAAACGCTGTACTGGGTGGTGCGTGACGCATGCGGGCAGTGGCCTTCAGTGGAGTTCCCTATGGGGCCACGAAGCGCTGTATTGGGTGGTGCGTGACGCACGCGGGCGGTCCCACTGGGGCCATCGGTGGAGCTCCTCATGGGGCCACGCAGCGCTGTACTGGGTGGTGATTGACACATGCGGCCAGTCCCACTGGGACCTCCGGTGGATCTCCCTGTGGGGCCACGAAGCGCGGCACTGGGTGGTGCGTGACGCATGCGGGCGGTCCCAGTGGGGCCTTCGGTGGAGCTCCCTATGGGGCCACGAAGTGCATGAGGGGTGTATTGAAACGGGTGACGATGATGAAACGCAGGGAGGAGGGAGGAGGAAGGAGGAGGGAGGTGGAAGGAAGGAGGAGGAGACGCGGGGCGTTTTTTCTTCAAAACGAGGACCCAACACAACAGGATGGTTGGGAACCAGAAAACATGTACACCCTGGAGACCCAACCATATGTAGCTGTGGGTACTTCAATTGTGATTATTTTCTTCGGCGAAGCTTCCTATGGGGCCACGAAGCGCTGCACCGGGTGGGGGGGGGAACGTTGTCCTGGGTGGGTGGTGTGCCAAATTGGGCTTCCAGGACGCATGCGGACGGTCCCACTGGGGCCTTCGGTGGAGCTCCCTATGGGGCCGCGAAGCGCTGTACGGGCTGGGTTAACATGCCAAATTGGGTTTCCAGGATGCATGCGGACGGTCCCACCGGGGGGGTTCGGTGGATCTCCTTATTGGGTCACGAAGCGCTGCACTGGGTGGGTGAAAATGCCAAATTAAGTTTCCGGAACGCATGCGGACGGTCCCAGTGGGGGCTTCGGTGGAGCTTCCTATGGGGCCACGAAGCGCTGTACTGGGTGGGTGAAAATGCCACATTTGGTTTTCGGGACGCATGCGGACGGTGGCATTGGGGCCTTCGGTGGAGTTCCTTATGGGGCCACGAAGCGTTGTACTGGGTGTGTAAAAATGCCACATTGGGTGTTTCGGGACGCTTGCGGACGGTCCCAGTGAGAACTTCGGTGGAGCTCCCTATGGGGCTGTATTGGGTGGGTGAAAATGCCACGTTGGGCTTCCGGGACGCATGTGGACGGTGGCACAGGGGCTTTCGGTGGAGCTCCCAAGGGGTCCACGAAACGTTTTACTGGGTGGGTGAAGATGCCAGATTAGGTGTTTCGGGACGCTTGCGGACGGTCCCGCTGGGGCCTTCAATGGAGCTCCTTATGGGGCCACGAAGCGCTGTACTGGGTGTGCGGGACGCATGCGAACTGCGCCACTGGGGCCTTCGGTGGAGCTCCCTATGGGGCCACGAAACGCTGTACTGGGTGTGCGTGACGCATGCGGACGGTAGCACTGGGGCCTTCGGTGGGGCTCCCTATGGGGCCACGAACCGCCGTACTGGGTGGGTGAAACGCAAGGAGGAAAGGGAGAAGGGCCACGAAACGCTGTATTGGGTGTGCGGGACGCATGCGGACGGTAGCATTGGGACCTTCAGTGGGGTGCCCTATGGGGCCACGAAGCGCAGTATTGGGTGGGCGGAACGCAGGGAGGAGAAGGGAGGAGGGGGAGGAGGAGAAGGAGAAGGAGGAGAAGAACGCGGGGACCGTTACGTATTTCAAAACGAGGTCCCAACACCACAGGATGGTTGGGAAAACCAATACATCGGATCTCTGGGGTTGAGGCGCGCGGGAGCGTCGGAAGACATGACGAACTAACCCCACCTTCGGAACGCCGCCACTGGGGCCTTCGGTGGAGCCGACGCACGGCCCTGGGACCTTCGGTGAAGCTCCCCATGGGGCCACGAAGCGCTGCGCTCGGTGTGGAAGACGCGTGCGGGCTGCGCCATTGGGACCTTCGGTGGAGCTCCCCATGTGGCCACGAAACGCTATACTGTCTGGGGTAGACGCATGCGAACTGTGCTACTAAGACCTTCGGTGGAGATCCTTGATGGGGCCACGAAACGCTGTACTGGGTGGGGGAGACGCATGCGAACTGCGCCACTAAGACCTTCGGTGGAGCTCCCTACGGGGCCACGAAACGCCGTACTGGGTGTGCGGGACGCATGCGAACTGCGCCACGGGAACCTTCGGTGGAGCTCCCTATCGGTGGAGCTTCCTATGGGGCCACGAAGCGCTGTACTGGGTGGGGGAGACGCATGCGAACTGCGCCACGGGGACCTTCTGTGGAGCTCCCTGTGGGGCCACGAAACGCTGTACTGGGTGGGGGAGACGCATGCGAACTGCGCAACTGGGACCTTCGGTGGAGCTCCCTAGGGGGCCACGACGAGCTGTGCTGGGTGTAACGATGATGGTGATGATGACGGCGATGGCGATGGATGGCGCTGACGTTGACGATGATGACGATGATGATGATGCTGTTGATGATCATGATGCTGATGATGACCATGATGCTGCTGATGATGCTGATGATTCTGATGATGCTGATGATGATGATGATGATGATGATGATGATGATGATGATGATGCTGATGATGATGATGATGGTGATCATGCTGAACATGAGGACATGCGGCGGGCAGATGCAAGGGATGGGAGGAGGGGGAGGGACGAGGAGGGAGAGGAGGAAGGAAGGGACGCGGGGCGCTGTCTCTTCAAAACGAGGACCCAACACTGCAGGATGGTTGGGGGGAAACCAAACAAGACGATTCCTGTCCGCCGCGCCGCCGCCGCCGCCGCCCATATGGGGCAGAGAGGCTCCCCCGTTTGCTAAATACTGCTTCTTGTAATTGTATTCGTCACACCGCTGACGGAGCCGCGCCCTCGCACGTGAGGCGCGGCGCTCGCCCCAGGGTTTGGCGGCCTGGAAGCCCAGGCGGCCTTGCATCCATATACAGCGGAAGGGCATTGAGCTGGAGCGAGAGACTCGGACGGCCCCCTACTGAGCACCACCACCACACCCTCCTCCCCCCCTCCTCCTCCCCCTCCTCCTCCTCCTCCTCATCCTTCTCCGTTTCCTCCTCCTTCTCCGTTTCCTCCTCCCCCTCCTCCTCCTCGTCCTTCTCCTCGCCGTCGTCGTCCTCCTATTTCTTCTCCTCCGCCTCCTCCTCCCCGGTCCCTTGCGTCCGAGGAGGGCCCCGAGGCTAGCGAACCGCTCACGCGCCGACGCGGCCGCCGACGCGCGCGGCCGAACTCAGCCCCTACAGGTTCCTCCTCGCCCTCAGCCTCCTCATCCTCGTCCTCCTGCTCCTCCATCTCCTCCTCCTCCTCCTCCTCCTCCTCCTCCTCCCTCCTCCTCCCCCTCCTCCTCCTCCTCCTTCTCCTCCTCCTCCTCCTCCACCTCCTCTCGCATTCTGCTCGCCAGTCGCGGCGCCGGCGGCGCCGCTTCTTCCGTTGCTCATCCTCGCGCTGTTCTTCCTCCTCCTCCTCCTCCTCTGCCTTCCTCCGCCGCCACTTCTCCTCCTCCTCCTCCTCCTCTCCTCCTCCTCCTCCTCCTCTTGCTCCTCCTCCTCCTCCTCCTCCTCCTCCTCCTCCTCCTCCTCCTCCTCCTCCTCCTCTTGCTCCTCCTCCTCGTCCTCCTCCTCCTCCTCCTCCTCCTCCTCCTCCCGCGCCTCGGCCTGGGGGCACCCGAGTGGGTCCCCACCCCCATCACACAGGGGGACCCCCAGGCAATGGGGTTCGGGCCGGTCCCGGCCGCTACGCCGCACGGCCGTCGCCTGCGCGCTTTCGGGCAGGGGGGGGGAGGAGGAGAGGAGGGGGAAAGGGGAAGATGCGGCCCGTCCGGCCTCGGCGCCGGGCCCGCCGACCCGGCCGGGCCGCGGCGCCGGGCCCTCCTCCTCCCCCTCCTCCTCCTCCTCCTCCTCCTCCTCCTCCTCCTCCTCCTCGTCCCCCTCCTCCTCCCCCTCTGCCGTCGGCGCCGGCGCCGGCGCCCTTCCTTGGGCCCCTCGGCCTCTCTGTTTTCGTCCTCCTACTCGGCGCTCCCCGCCCTGGGGCTGGCCTCAGTCTCCACCGCCGCCGCCACCGCCGCCGCCGCCACTGCCGCCGCCGCCTCCTCCTCTTCGTCGTCCTCCTCCTCCTCCTCCTCCTCCTCCTCCTCCTCCTCCGCCCCCGCCCCTTCCCCCTCCTCCCCCCCCTCCCCGTCCCCCTCCCCTTCCCCCTCCCCCTCCCTCCTCCTCATCCTTCTCCTCCTCCTCCTTTTCTTCCTCCTCCTCCCTCCTGAGCCGTTCCTCCCTCCCCATCCCTCCCTTGGTCGGCGTGGGGGCGGGGGCGGCCGCCAGGAGCCGGGGCGAGGACGCGCAGGGTGGCGGCAGCGGCGGCGACGCGTGGGGCGACGCGCCCTCCTTCGCTGGGTCGGCGGAGTCGGCGGGGCGGATCGCGGACGACGGCAGGGGCGAATAGTCCACGGGCGGGCGTAATACGCATTCGCCCGGGAGATTCGCCAAAGGCATGGGCCATCGGCGCCCCCTGGGGGTGCACGTATTGCTCCCCCCCGGGGCTATACTCGCCCCCGTCATCGCCTCCGAGGGGAGCACGTCGGGAGGGTCGAACTGGGTACGGAAACAGGCGGCACGCACGCCCTGGCTCGTGCATACGGGGGGGGGCGGCGCGGGGAAGTGGGGGCGGGGCGATGAGGGGGAGGAGGCGGGGCGACGAGGCACCAGCACCGCCACCCTTGCCTGGTTTTTCCCTTTTTTGGCTTCCTGAGAGGCCATGGTCGCCACCGCTGGATTCGCCTTGAAATTCTGGTCAGGCTGCAACCGGGGAGAGGTCTGGGGAGTATGGGCATGGGTACCTTTGGTTTCCCTGTGGGGGGGGGACGTCTTGGGGCGATTCTAATGTGTTCACGGGGCCATCCAGAATGACTATCATGAGGAGGTAGGAGCAGGGGTGCTTGGGGGAGGCAATGGGCGAACGGACGAAGGACGACGAACACAAAGGGCTCCGAGCTCTAGAACACAGCTGTGCAAGAGAATAATGGTGCGAAGACCGACAGTTGCTCTTGTTCATTTTGAACAGGACTCGCTGTCGGTGTCGCCACGGACGTTGTTCATTGAGACAGAAGGCCGCCTGCCCAACAGCAGCTGCTGCCGGTTCTAGACAACATGTGTGCCTGGGCATCGTATCCATTGTTTCCGTACCCATTCTGGACGTCCAAAGCAGGCAGGGAGTGGGCGGAAGGACCCAGGCTTTTTATATCCAGGCCTCCCAGATGGGGTCCGGGCAAATGGGGTCGACAGATTGCCGCCGCGTCTCCGATGCATGCGGCGCGGTCCTCCGGCCCCATCTACTCGGACCCCATCTAGGAGGCCTCTGGGGGAGCAGGCAGGGGGAAGGGCAAGGGAACGCAGACCAGAACACCGAGAGGCGCCCAGGGCTCGACAGGAGAGCAGCTGCAGGATAAGGAGCGGCGGCGGCAGAGGCAGAGGTGGGGGAGGGGAGGGGGGGGGGGCAGGTCCGCGACGGCGCCGCGCGGGGAGGAGGGCACGCCCTCCTTCGCGGGGGCGAGGGGCAGCAATGCGGAGGATGAAGAGGAAGAAGGGGGATGAGGAGGATCGGGGGAAACGCAAGACTCGAGTTCACCAGAATTCGGGTCTGCCGACTCTTGCTGACGGGCCCGTCCTGAATTGTGACGGTGCAGTGTTCGTGGGATATTTGTTGCGGGAGTTCGTGCCAGATTTCAGAGTGGACCGAACCATCTTCTTGACGGCCTTGTCAGGCCAACCCGAGTCCCCCGAACCCGAGTCTCCCGTCTTCCCCGAGAGGAGGAGGGCCACCGACATCAGCCTGACATTTGCGCATCGTGACAAAGGAGGCGGCCTGCTTTTGGCTCGTCCCGTCTCTGGAGCCCGAGGCCCTCGCGGACCAGTCCGGCTCGGTAAACGCCGCATGGAGGTGGTGCTGTGAATTCCGGTCGTCAATTTTTTATGACGTAGCGATGTCTCTGCGATTCACGCCTAATATCAGGGGCAAGGATAGGGGTGATAGGCTCCAGGGGGGAACGCATCGACCCCCAATTGATCATGGACCGATGGGGGTCTGATGGCCCCACCCCGCCCAGGAAAGTGCGGATTCGCTATCGGTGGCCTGTCGCTGATATATCGGTGATGTATGGTGGATTCCGGGTCGATGTTTCCTCCTCTCAGCCAGTTCTAGTCCCTTATTGTTGCCCCTCATGATGTCGGGATCGGCTGCAGGAGCAGCAGGCGCCGAGGAGGGGGAGCAGGAGGAGGGACGGAGGTGTGCGGGATTGGCCTTGCACTGGCCTGCTTCGTGTCGTCTCGCCCAGGCTTTCGATTGCACGTGTACTTCGCCGAACGCTCGCCTGCTTCGGCCACTGAAGGGGTCTCGTCGTGACGGTGGGCCATTTCCGTGGGCTGACGCCCAGGTGGACAAGTTCTTGTCGTGTGTCTGTACGTATGCGCATGTTTTTGCCTCCGTAAAGCGCGATCGCACCGTGACGCTCAATCCAAGCAGCGGCACCGGCGCACCGCGAGCCGCGCTCCGCTCCTCGTCTTTTTCTTATCCGCTGGTCCACTCTGCTGCTGCCTCTCCGCTTCTGCGTTTTGCCCGCCCTCTCCGCACTGCCGTCCTGCCCCTCTTCCCCACCGCGGCGCACTGTTCTCGCTGTCGCCCCCTGGCCACACGCATCGTCTGCTCCGCCGCCGACTTGCCTCTCTGGGTCGGGGTCTGGTTACGCCCTTGGACGAGTCATTGGTGCGCGGCATTGGGGAAAGGGTGTGTTCTTGCGTGCCCATCGTGCCCGGTTACAGGCCTCAGGAGACGGGTCGGCGAGCTCCGCTGGCCCCCTCGATAAAATCCGCCTGCCCTTCGCCCGAAGTAACAGACCATCGTGCGGGGCTGGGCCGAGATGAAGCTGCCCAGAGAAAGTCGTGTGCGTGGTGGCGGTGAGTCAACGAGGAGGATCAGGAGCAGGACCAGGAGGGTGAGTCAAAGAGTGGGTAGGAAGGGGGGGATCATGTTGAGGAGGAGAAGGAGGTAAGGGAGGCGAGAGCGCGACAAGGAGTGTGGGGAGTGCAAGAAGGAGGCGAAGGATCAGGATCAGTAGGTAGGATGAGGAGGAGAGCCGCACATGTTTGCACACTCCTGCCTGTCCGATTTCGTAATTTGGCATCGTTGTTCGCTCTATCCACGTCAGGCGCGAATGTAGGAGCCCTTGGCGTTTCTTCCCAACTGCTTGAAGTCTGCTGGCGTCGGGGAAGGAGGATCGTGAGAGCAAGGAGGTGGGGACTTAGTGACCACCGCTTTGCATCCACACAAGGATGGGGAATAGAGGAGGAGCAGTCCAGCATTTCACACGCCTTGTCAATCCCCGGCGTGCAGGGGTCCGCGGGAAATCATGTCTGTTTCGCTGGTGTGATCGTTGACTCCATTCTCGCCGTCGTCCGACACGAGTCCTGCGCCGATTCCGAGCGGACCCAGGCCGAGACGAAGGGAGCCTTCAAATCCCGAGTGGCGCTTGCGATGGCGCGCCCCCGGGCGCGGGCAGACGGATCCGCCCGCCGAGAGCCGACGCGCCGCCACCAGGCAATTGGGGTAGCGCCAGCGGCTCCGGAGGCCCGCGCCCGGCCCTCTGCGGCGGGGGGAGGGGCGCCGGCGGCAGTCGCGGAGGGAGCGGTGCGTGATGCCACCGAGAGCAAAAGAACCTGTAATCAGAGCCCCGAATCATCAGGGGTAACTCGGGTCAGGGATAATTCGGGTTCGTGTTTCGGGAATCCAAACCCGAGTTACCCCGGACCCGAGTTACCCCGGATAACTCGGGCGCCCAATGTAAGTTAGGGATTTTCTGTTCACACTGAAGGTGGGGGGCTCGCTATTGCAATTCCCACCCCCCCGCGTCCCCCCTCCCCCCTGTCCCCCCTCCCCGTCCCCCCCCCCCGGTCACACTCCTTAGTTGTAAGAGAGCATCTTGTCAGACCTCTTTGGCCCTTTCTCCAACTAAGTTGGATCCCGCCACTGTCCGTCTCCATAGCTGCACAGAGTTGAGATAAGACCTTGTGTCACCATTTCGAACCTTTCAACAACTGAGGTTGGAGGCCCCCGCCGTCTCTCTCCTGAGCTGTACAGAGGTAAGAGAAGACCCTATCACATTCTGTTAGACCCTCCAACAAATGCGAGAGGCATGACTTTCAGCGCTACCAGCCGCCCGTGTTTCGCGTCTCGCGGGGGGGGGCGGACATCGGAATTCTAGACGCTTCGCGTAACCCCACCAGCGCCGGCCGGCCTGCGGCGCGTTTAGTAGCTACTTGAGCCGTTTCCGTGTCCCGGAGCGCTTCTGACTCCACTTGCGCTCTCCCTGGTGGACGCGACCGAAAAAAGTAACCACACCAGCAGACTTCACGCACTGGTCCGTGGTGACCCGCGCCATTTTGGCTGCGCGGGAGCTTTGCTGCTTCCCGCACTCGTGCGTTCTGCTGCCTTGGGACTGCGCGGCTACGGCCACCCTGGGATCTCGCAGCCTGCCAACGCTCTCGCCTCGTCTCGGCACCAATTCGACCTTGACCGACGGTTCTTCGGGCCACCCTGGTACTCACGCAGTTGTTTGGGGTTGCGTCCATGCATTAATTTCGGCTTCTGACCCGGGTCGTCGTGTGTCCCGACTTCCTGGTGCTTCCGACGCTATGCATACTTGCACGCTGATTGTACGACTCAGTTTCAGCTGCCCCCCCCCTCGCCGGTCCTCCGCTGAGCTGCTGCGCGAGGTCCCGGTTAGCCGCTGTTGGTGTGGCCTCCCTCCGTCGCTTTAGTTCAATTCGTCGATGCGTGCCCCGCTTTGACTGGACTCGCCGCCGGCGCGCTCGCCCGCGGCCGCTGATTAAAAAAAATAACCCCACCAGCCCATTCAGAAACGATGCCCAGAGGAATTGCCTCGATCAGGGAAGTGGGCAGCACACAGAGGAAGGGTCCCCCAGTGGAGGCCTCTTGGAGCGTCTTGGGTGCCTCGGAGAGCGTCTCTTGGGAACATCTTGGAGGCCTCTTGGGCGCCTGCTTGGGCCTCTTGGGCGCCTTTTGGGGCCCTCTTGAAGCGCTCTTGGGAGCCTTGGAAGCGCTCTTGGGGCCATCTTGGAGGACATCGATCAAACAAGCAGCGAACATTAGTTCGCGCTGCCCCTCGTGAGCCCAAAGCATCGCTTCTTTGGGCGCTCTTGTAGCGCTCTTGGGGCGCTCTTAGGCGCTCTTGGGGCCATCTTGGGGCTCTCTTGAGCCTCTCTTGGAGCCCTCTTGGGCCATCTTGGAGCCACATTGAGGCCTCGGATGGCCACCGGACGCGAAAAGGCGAGAAAGCCAAACACATCAATGCTCTTGAGGTTTTGGCCTCTTCGGGGCCTCCTGGGGGAGCTTGTTGGCCACTTGGAACCGTTTTGGAGCGGTCTTGGGGCATTTTGGAGCATCGTGGGAGCCATTATGAGTCATCTTGGGATAATTATCTGGAGCCATCTCGGAGGTCATCTTGGGCTCTCCCAGGCGCTCTTGGAGTCATCTTAATCAGCGCCCCCCAAAAAAAACCATCATGTGGCTAGAACCTTGGTCGAATCAATGATTTGGCATTCTCGCCGAGGCCTCTTGGAGCATCTTGGGTGCCTCGGGGGGGTCTCTTGGGGCCTCTTGGAGGTCTCTTGGGAGCCTCTTGGGGGCATCCTGGGGGCCTCTTGGGGTTTCATGGCCACCTCTTGGGGCCCTCTTGGGGCACCCTTGGGAGCCTTCGGGGCCATCTTTGGGCCATCTTGGGTGAGATCGATCACAGGAGGGGGGGTCACTAATTTGGGCCTCCCCCTCAGGAGGCCAGGATGGGGCCAAAACCTTAGTAAAACCAGTGATTTTGGCTTCCTCGCCGAGGCCGTTTTGGACGCTCCGGCGACTCGCGGAAGCCCCTGTCCAGGTCCAGGGGAGGAGGTAGGGGGAGAGGTAAACCCCTCCCCGAAGGGGAAGAAGGAGGGGTGGAAGAGCAAACGCCTTAAACCACCGACGCCCAGAGGGCTGGTGGGATTACCGCTCTGGCTTCATATTCGAGTGATGTGTAGGGTGCAGGAGGAGGAGGAGGAGGAGGAGGAGGAGGCGTTTGGCGGAGGCCGCCTTCTTAATTCTGCACGCCCACAGGGAGCAGGCGGATCCGGTCGTACCCAGTGTGTGTCTCACATCCCTTCTTTTAGCCAGGGAACCGAAAGCCGTGTCAAATCATCCTAGTCAGACTCCGCTCCGCGGAGCCTGGTCTGCGCAGGAGACAGATAGCGCGCAGAGCGTGGTGCAGAGTTGTGGTGCGACTTGCGCGCGCGAGGGAGGCTCTAAAGATAAAGACACATCAGAGTGCCCAGTAGTCCCCATGTAGTTCCATGACGCAGCAGCCTCAGGTGATTGCGACATGGAAGCAACCATGCGGACAGCAGATCGCCGTAGCGAGATGGAGTTGCAAGTGCTGGGTTCAGTTCATTCAGCGTACCAGCATGTGTCGACGGCCCCAGTTCCGACGAAGGCTGCCATTAATTAAACCATCCATCCCATTCGTCCGTTGACTGTGCAAGCGAGGAGACACTTGAGGTGGGAAGAACCGCCAGAGCAAGGAGAACAGGGGCAACACAGCATCGCCGTGCAGAGAAAGTTGGACGTACTTACAGTCTTAGTCATCGCGGCCGCAGTGGGTGGCACACGCGACGTGGAGCCCAAGTTAGAGATTGCGATGTGGACGGCTATTCTTGCCTTGCGAACGCCAGTCATCCAGTAGTTGCCTGACATGAGGGCCAGGCAAGTTCGTCAGGACAGAATACTCAGATTATCACAAGCGAGCGTGCCAGGTTAACCGAAGAGGAAGCAGTGGCGCAGAGAGGAAGCGACAACTTGACAGCCCAAACTGTAGCCTCAAAGGAGCACGCATATGACGTCAGGAACTTCGCACTGAATGAGGAGATACCTAAACAGGCAGATTATCACTACGTTGGTGGAGGTGGTGGATCATCGTTTGTACCGCCATGGCAGCAGAAGGCGGTGCATGCGCAAGCAGCACCTTGGCATGTCGCGCGCAGCGGCGAGCCAACCATCCCAACCCGCTTGCTCCACCCCCCGTACCAAGTCTTGCAGACGGCCATGGATTTCAAGGGCAGGCAAGGGCAAAGGAGGTGCTACGCCGATACCGCCGTCAGCTCCGCCACATCCCCACATGCAAGTGCCTCAAATTGCGAATGTGGGCGGCCTGACGGAGCAGCAGAATAGTTAGTTAATCGGAATGTTGACGATGGTAGTAAACAAGAACGCCCGAATATATCTGTTCATCGTCAGTGACGAGCGCGGGGTTTACTCAAGCCGTGTCGCCTAGGGCGGCGAAGGCACCGCAGGTGGCTCCAGCGTCGACTTCCGATGCGCGATCCACTTTGTCAGCAGACGGAACGCCGACGCCGTGGAACACCGATTGCACCTCGAAGCCTCATGCTTACTTTCGGCACCGAGGAAATCGGATCGATGCCATCCTCGGGGGCACTACCGCTGGTATCACCTGCACAGCCCAGTCCCATACAGTACCACAGAGCAGATGGATGCGACTATTCCAGACATGACAGGCGCGAGTGGCCAAGCAGTTGGGGCGGGAGTCTCCCCGGCCGCGCAGCCGAGCGTGCCGGGCGTCTTTACAGCGGCGCAGGTGATTGGGATGGAAGTATCCCCAGCAGCGCACGGGTGGGATGGGCATATTTCCAGCGGCGCAGGCGATTCAGATGGGAGTGTATCCAGTGTCGCAAGCGAGTTCGATGGGTGTTTTCACGTGGGAGTGTTTCCAGCGGCGCAGCCAGGTGGGAATTGGCCAGTTTCGAGTCGTACCAAGGCCCCCGAGATTTCAGAGCGGCGGTAGCCGAGGCGGCAGCGGGGGCGGCCCGAATGCCAGTGGACGAAGCGACCGCGACAGCGCCAGCCAGGTCAGCGACGGCGTCGTTGCCGGCGGAGGTCAGTCCACCCAGACAGTTCCGACGAGGCGACGACCAAGTGATCGCGACGGGGGGCGGGGAGGCTGAGCCGAGAGGGGCGAGCGCTAGGTGGGGCTGCGCCGAGCAGCGGCCCTTTTGCGCGCATTCTAGCATCTTTCCCTCTCCTCCCCTGGCGGCGTTGGCCCCGTCATCGCCAATTTTGCTTCGCGCACCTGCGGCGATCTCACTCGACTCTCTCGCGGGATCTCTGCTCGGGGGCGGGGGCCAAGATCCTTCGCTCAACGGCGAAGCACCGGCCGTCGGCGGCCCGGGCGGGTCTGATAGCCAGGCCCAGGAGCATAGCGCTAAGTCTCGCAGGCCCGAGCGCGACATCAGCGGTGACTTCACGCAGCCCATCCGCTCTCGCTCCCGTTCTCTTGCTTTGCGCCGGGGTGTGCCGCGGGAGTTCCGCGCTCCGCGTTTCGGCGAGGTTGGCCGCGGCGCTCTCAGATGAGCCCGAGGGCCCTCGCAGCGCCGCGGTTGACCTGTAAGGGGCATGGGTTTTCGGTCACCGCCCCTGTTTCTGTCGGCGAGGAAGAAACTCCGCCCCTCTTTTTCCTCCTCCTTATCCTCCTTTTCCTCTCCACCTCCTCCTCCTCCTCCTCCTCCTCCCCGTCCTCCTCCTCCTCCTCATATTTCTCAGCGACCGATGCGACATCGAACGGCACAGTCCAATGACGACGAGAGAGGATACGACTGGTGGTGGCGTGAGCATATTCGGCGCGATCTTGCATGCACCTCGATATGCACGTAGGGCGCGTCGTCACGCCACCTTGCCCCCCCCAAAAGTGCTGACGCATGCGTACGATACGCGTGATACTCTGGCGTCGACTGGCGCGTAGGGTAATATTGAGACGGCCCCCACTGTAGACAAAATTCCGCCCGAGACACTAAGAAAGCCCGCGACCGTGCTTCTCTGCGTTGACACGTAACCGTGAGTTCATGAATGGTTTGCTCCGCGTTTTGTATTATGTTGCTCACGGGTCGCGGCGCCACCCGTGCCCCATGGGCAAACGCTTCTGTTCGTCGACGGCGAGGTTGGGAATCTGTTTTTGCGACACCGAATGCGCGGTTAACAAGTTGTAGGAAATCATGAGTCACACTTTCTTAGAGTACAAATGCACGAATGTCTCGAGCGAAAAAACAGAGTGAGTTGCAGGAAAACACGAGACACGCTTTCCTACGATTGGTTTGGCCATGAACCTGTCCCACCTGCAATGCCGAAACCCACCTCGCCGTTACCAACAGACTTGGCAGCACCCCCGAACTGCTCTCGCGCGACAGGCGGCTGGGGTGGCGGCGGCGGCGCGTCTGGCTCTGGAGGCCTCGCCGCGCCAGCCGCGGCCTTCCCTCCCTCTCGCCTTCGGTCCTCGGTCCTCCTCGGTCCTGGGTCCTCTCGCTTCTCGCTTCCTCCTTCCACCCCCCCTTCTCCCCCCCTCGTCATCATGCCATCTAGCACGCGATCTAGCCCTCTCTGGATGAGGCCCGAGTAGATGGGCTCGGAGGAATGCTCCGCATCGCCGATGCATTGAAGATGCGGCACGATCTGGAACCAGGAGTTCTCCACGCCGATGACACTGATGCATCGCCGACGTCGCCGGCGCAACGTCGATGTATCGCCGATGCGTCGTCGATGCATCGGCGATGCTTTGGCGATGCGGCGTGATCCTCCGACTGTCCTCTAGGGGGCATCTATTTTACCGCGGGCCCTTGTCAGGTTCCAGCTCTGGACAGAGCGGGGGAGCTCGTCTTGAGCGGTGGGGCCAAGCCGTGGGCGGCTCAGTTCTTCTGCCCTTGGTGGGCATTCGGAAGGTCAGGGTGAGGCCCCTGGGAAGCGAGGAACGATGGTGGATGAGGAGGGCGTTTTGGGTTCTGGGGTGGTCCCTGGGGGTCGCAGGAGATGTGACGGGGTCTCGCGGCAAGGATGTTAGGGGGATCTTGCCACAACCCGGCTCGAGACCGGAGGGCGCCAGAATCTGTTCTGTTTTCGAGGGCCGTCTGTGGCATCACAACACGTTCGTCTTTCACGGAGTGTCTGTGTGTGTGTGTGGGCGGGGGCATCGCGGTTAGCCCGCCAGGGGAGACCGCATCGATGCGTCACGCGACGTTGCCGAGCAAAATGCGTGTGGAGCCATTGTGTCGGGAAGTGGCGGAGCAGCGCTGCGGGATGTTGCTCATCAGCTCCAGCTCACGGCCGAGGGGGCCTCGCGACGTCCCAGCGATCTGAGGAGAGGCCAATGCATCGGCAAGAAGGGCAGGGGAAGCAGGGGGAGATGAGGCGAACGAGGCATAGGGTAAGGGGGAGGAGGACCCGGGTAAACTCACGTGGTGTCAACAATGCTACAATATTCTCTCCCGCACCAAGTCCCCACCCACAAGTCCCCACAGGTATGCCTTGCTATTTCTGGAAGCGCTCCCTTGGATGACAAGGACCCGGTGGGTCTGCCACTGAGGCGAGATCCCGTGGTTTTCAAACAGTTTGTCAGCCTCCACCCATCGAGCTCACAGGAACTCAAAGAGTTATGTTGATTATGTTCGAGGCAATGTCATACGATGTCCCCGTTTCGTAAAGGATTTGCTTTCCATCCGTGTAAAGATGAGTTGCACAACCACCGAAAGTCTTGGCCATCAGGTCTACGGAAGTTTCAAAAGAGACCCCTGGTATGATAACACGCATCTTCCATCCGTGTTGTCGATGCAAACAGTGGAATTGCGGGTCGTAAAATTCAAGAACGTCTTAAGCGAGTACAGCGTTTTGAACGCGCATTGGCCTTAATGTTTGTAGTTATTGGAAAATATGATAAGCATGATAACGCGCGGCGCTAAGGCGATAGCCGCTTTTCAAAACGATCAGCCCCCGTCATCGTAATTGCTGGAATGTGCTCAGATTGGGGATGCAAATGCGCAAGCAAACCGCCCAGCCCGCCCGGGCTGGTGTGTTGTTGTTGAAATAATTATTGTTGATCCCCCCCACAAAGTGTGCCCCTCGACGTTCGCAACCTGTTGCCTGTTTTTTGACAGGGAAAGTCTTGATGCTCAAACTGGGCCCTTGGCCCCCGGGTTACAACAACAACGGCTCCCGCTTGAGATTCCCTTACAATTTAGCCAGGACCCCCGCTCCCGCCTGAGACTTCCTCGCATTGTATTCAGGAATCGCGCTCTCGCTTGGGACTTCCTTAAATGTATTCAGGAATCGCTCTCCCGGCGCTCTGGAGTCGCGCTCTCGCTGGAGACTTGCTTGCAACTTACTGAAGAATGGCCTTGCGTTGGAATTTCTTGCAATTTGCCCAAGCGCCGCGTTCCCAACACCCAGGCACCCAGGAGTCGCGCCCGTTGCGGCCCCATGTGCATGCCCTTCGTGGCCCCGCTGCCGCCATTTGTGTCCCCCTCACTGTCCTACGTGGCCCAGTTGCTACCCTCAGTGGGCCCACCGTTGCCTTCTGTGGCCCCGCATTATCTGCACTTCGTGGCCCCCGCTCGTTCGCGCTCTTCGTGGCCCCATACGCATTCCCTTCGTGTCCCCGCTGTCGCCCTTCGTGCCCTACTTCGTGTCCTTATGGCTCTGCTGTCGTTTTCTCTCGCTCTCGCTTTCGCTCGTCGTCGCCGTCGTCGTCGCCGTCGTCCTCGACGTCGTCGTCGTCGTCGTCGTCGTCGTCGTGCTTGGTCCCCTGTCCGTCCCTGTTGGGGTCGGGTCGGCGGTCCGCGGCAGCCCCGCCGACGCTGCCGCTGGCCAGGCTGACGGTCCGCGGCCGCCCCGCCGCTTGCCGTGGCCCGGCCTGCAGGGAAGAAAGGTATACCCCCCAAAAGGGGGTTGATCGAAGACGAAGAGGGCGGGTATCGAGGTTTTGGGAAATACGCGTGATTGGACACTCGAGCATATAAGGGCGAACAGGATTTAACTTATTGGTGTTGTTGTTGCTGTTGTTGTTGTTGTTGTTGTTGTTGTTGTTGTTGTTGTTGTTGTTGTTGTGTGTGTGTATGTGTGTGTATGTGTGTGTGTGTGTGTGTTTGTGTGTGTGCCGCCCGGGGCCGTTCTCTCCCCTCCACCATTGGCCTGACATACCACTGCCTCAAGCCGAGCACGAGCACCCCCCGCATCTTTGGCGACCAGTGCGGGGGAGGCCCGTTCAATTCCCAGAAGGATGATCGGGTCGGGCGAAAGGGGGGGATTGGGAAAGGGGGGTTACGAAATTTGCTGCATGCAGCTGGTTTTGGCCTCCCAAGGGGCCCACTCCTCGATACATAGCCGCTTCCGGCGCCGGGAGGCGCCGGGAAAATCAGCTACGTGAGTTGATTCTCAAACCCCCCCTTTGCTATCCCCCCCTTTCGCCCGACCCGAGATGACGGAAGGACGTGGGTTGACGAGGCAGCCAGGAAGATGGTTGCCAGCCGTTTGGAGTTCTACCGCCGTGGAGTGGTGATTGTCTCTGGCAGTGGTCTGGGCGCTGGAACACGAGCCTGTCGGTTAAGGGGTTGCGCGCGCCAGCCGACGGCAAGGTGCCACGTTCAAAATATATAAAAAATGGCATGGAACGAGTTTTCTGGATACTGGCTAGGCGAACGCACGATGCATGCGGTCGGAAAAAGTGATGCGCCGCGTGGCGCCACCATTATTTGTTTCGCCGAATTTGTTTGCGGCAGCGCGCGATATCGCGTTTTAGCAGAGGCGTGCTTCTACGGCGCCGTGGTTTGCGCGACGTGCAAAATTAGGGTCGACCGCGCGCTGCCGTCGTGGACTGGATGGCGTGGCGCTGCGATCAGGGTCGCGCGCAGCGTGAGCAATTCGACGAGTGCCCCCTGGGCGGCCGACAGCGGCCCTGCAGATTTGGACCGCTGTTTTTTCCATCTTGTTACGCACGTCCACAGGATCCGCCCGATCAGTCTTTGTGGCTGCTGGCATTCAAGATCTCGTTGCGAAACTCCAGTATTCACCCTTCTTTACCCCCTCGCTCCTGCGCGCCACCCTTGTGCGCCTTCCCCACCCTGCCCCCTCTCAGCGAGGGTAGCGCGCATGAGCCGGCGCCCCCCGCGCCCGGCCACCGGACTTTTCTCGGCGACCACGCGGGGCATATTGCGCGAGGGGCTATCCTGACCCGACAAGGCATACATGACCGTTTTGATGCCATCGTCGAGTAATTAGATGAGCTGAAATGAAGCGCGGCGCGTGTGGACAGGAGGATGTCCGTGGGTCAGGTTGATTGCAAGTGGGCGCAGGACAAGGACCAAGCCGGTTCCGATCAGGGCAGAGTTGGGGCCGGCGTAGACATGGCATATGGACAATCACCAGTGTGTATATATATATATATACAATCGCCAGTGTTTATATAAAAGAGAAGAGCAGATAGGGTACAAATAGGCGTGCGATAGGGCAAGGTACGATTTGGGCTACATGTGCACATTTGCATATACAATTACAAGCGCAGCAAAATTAATATTTGCGGATCGCCCGGGGCCGAGTGCAGGGCGCGTTCAACCTGGGCGGAGAAGCGCGCCTTCTCGCGCGCGCGCAGATCGGCGGGCCCGCCGCGCGCGCAGCAAGGCGGGCCGGGAGCCCGCGGCGCGCCCCAGTCGTGCCGGCGCCGTCGGGGCGCCCAGGGCACAGACAGGCGCCGTCGCCGGCGCGGCAGCAGCACCTCGGGCACCCAGACCCAGTGTCCGACATACCCCGTGGATTCACAAAATATCCCAGCGCGGCATGTCGCGCGCTCGCCGACCGCGCAACATGTCCCGCTGGAGGATTTCAAGTACAATGCGTGCGAGGCGTACTCCAACCATACATTCCGCAGACGTAGAATGCTTGGGAAATGCCCCCCGTTGATCTCCAATATTTAAACGCGATCCAAAAATGCGCCCGCTGATTTCGCGTGCCCAGAACATATTCCAAACATAGTCAGTCAACACTTCCCCCCAAATATGCTCAAGACACTCCAGCGCTACTTGCGAGAAATCTCAAAATATTCCAAAGATGCTCCAGTGCCATCTGCGAGATTTCAAAATTCTCCAAGGATGTTCCAATACCACGTGCGAAGTTTTGATATGCTCCGAAGACGCGCCAGCACAATTTGCGAATGCAGCGAATACTCGAATGATCTTCCTCTGCCATTTGCGAATTTTGAAGATATTCCCGATTACCCTCGCGGCGACCTCTGAGGTCTCAAAATGCAGCAGGAGACGCCCACTGACCATTTCAAATGGTCAGTGGGCGTCTCCTGCTGCATTGATTTGCGAAACATCAAAACACCCCAGGACGCAGTGCGTTACCGTCTTCGACAGTTCCAAGTCTCCCAGGAGATGCCACCGCGTGTTTTCCGGAAAGCATTGGG